AGAGAGAGAGAGAGAGAGAGAGAGAGAGAGAGAGAGAGAGAAAGAGAGAAAACATATCTACAAATTAATCAAAGCAATACCAAAATAATTCATGGACTTTAACAATTTTTACAGATTTTTGATTTTTTTCTTTTTCTTTGAAAACACATATAGATAGAGAGAATCTGCAAAGAACCAAGAAAATCACTATGAACAAGAAAATAAGTGACGGAAATCATTAATTGGCTTCTTATTATAAGTGATAGGGGTCATTGTTCATTAATGACTTTACCAATTTGAAAAAGATAAAATATTCTCCGAGTGGATATATACATAAACCTGGGCACTATCTTACTTGGTGCTGGAAAAATGGTTGGCATTGCTGTAAATGATGTATTTTTTATTTGAAAGTTGACGATTTAGACTGGAGGCTCTAGGTCAAATTTCATTAGGTTTCATATAGACTTCATGTATGAGCGAAATGTATGCAACAGAATCTACCATACTTTATGTTTTGGTTGGCCCCATCATGCAGCAGGATTCTTCAACCTATCAATTCTTTTATTTCGTGGAAAAGAACATTCAAATTTTCAGATACCTCTAACAAGGCCGGGGGTGGGGGTCACATTCTCATATAGCTCTGACCCTCTCAGTCCTACGTTTTACCGTATTATTTGTCATATCAGTTGATCTTTGTTTTTTAAGATTAATACTCAAGATTCGTATGTTTTATTTCGTGGAAAACGGGAGTAGTAAATACAAATTCTCCGCTAACTCTTACATAGATGTGATTTTATATGAGTAAAATTTGACCATCACAGTCATAAGTCTTATAAGCACAATATTATGTTGTATGTATTAACACACAACATAGATAAATATTTTCTTAAATATTGTTCATAAAAAAAGTCTGGTTTTTAATCATAAAAAAAAATCCAAACAAAACATGTAAAATATACGGCAAAACTATATCCAAGTGTAATATATAGCGATGGGTAATTCTTTTGCTTTATGAATTTATGGAAAACTTTCTTTGTATATCATTTTGCCTCCGAACTTGCAAATGAAGAAGAAAATATCCTGGGGATTTGTCCCTCATTCTTTTCCATAGAATTGCAGTTTCAATTCACATAATTCTGTAATGTTTTACGCATCATTATTGTCTTTCAATTTAACATAAAACGATCTAATATTTGTACTGTATTCGTTGTCAACACCAAACATCTTCAATTCTGCACAAGTATGTCATCCTATCATTGTTTTATTTTGACTTTACGTTCTGTTTTTATAACTTAACATTTTACTGTTTCAAGTCAAGACCAAACTACTTCAAATTTACATCGTGTAGTTTCAAGTCAACACATTGTATGATAAGCCTCTCGTGACGTCATAATGATATACCATCGTGCTATCTTAGCTCAACAACACGTACTTTCAACTGTACGTAGTGTAGTTTTGAATGAGCATATTGTATGGCAAGCCTATCGTGATATCATTATGATATAACATCGTGCTATCGTAGCTCAACATCACATACTTTCAAATGTACGTTGTGTAGTTTTAAATGAGCATATTGTATGGTAAGTCTATCGTGACATTCAAATGATATAACAACATGCTATCTTAGCTTAACATCACTAGTTTCAACTGAAATCATGTAGTTTTAAATGAGCATATCGTGTGGTAAGCCTATCGTGACATTCTAATGATATAACAACGTGCTATCTTAGCTAAACACCACGTACTTTCAGCTGTACATGGTGTAATTTTAGATGAGCAAATCGTATAATAAGCCTATCGTAACATTATAATCATATAACATCGTGCTATCTTAGCTGAACAACACGTACTTTCAACTGTACGTCGTGTAGTTTTAAATGAGCATATTGTATGGCAAGTCTATCGTGATATTATTATGATATAACAACGTGCTATCTTAGCTTAACATCACCTAGTTTCAACTGAAAATCAAGTAGTTTTAAATGAGCATATCGTGTGGTAAGCCTAACATCACGTACTTTCAACTGTACGTTGTGTAGTTTTAAATGAGCAAATTGTATAATAAGCCTATTGTGACATTATAATGATATAACATCGTGCTATCGTAACTTAACATTACAAAATTTCAACTGTACGTCCTGTAGTTTCAAGTGTTAGCTTAACACGTTGCATAGTGTTGTTTTAAGTCAACAAATTGTATGGTAAACCTTTCGTTTCAATATAGTGGTGTAGCATCGTGTTATCTGAACTTAACATCATGTACTTTCAACTGTGCATCATGGTGTTTTAAATCAACAGATTGCATGATAGACCAATCGTAATATCACAATGATATAACATCGTACTATCTCAGCTCAACATTTAATAATAACAAGTCAGCACCAAACATTTTAGCTATTCATTTTATTTGTTATCATAGCTGTCGATGTGGATGACTGAGCAGTATCAATCTTCAAGCTAACATCATGCAGCGTCAACTTCACATCATGTACTTTAAACCCAACGTTACGTGTGTTTGGCATATCATCACAACATTGTGACTTATCATTATACTATCACAACTAAAGCACTTGTCATTGCAAGTCAACATTGCGCAAATTCAACTTAGCATATTGTAATTTAGAGTTAGCATTTTGATGACTCAATTCAACATCACGCTGTCTTAACTTTACATTTTAAGCTTCAGCATAACGTTTTGTAAATCTCTAATATATGACAGCTGAGGCTTTCCATAGAAAAACGACATAAAGACAAACAACAGTACACAAAACACAACGCTGGTGCTCTGGAAGGGTAAGCAGATCCTGTTCCACATGTGAAGGAAGCATGAAAATATATATCAGCAAAATGTTTGCAAGGAGATTCTGGATGTTAATTAGTTAGAACCTTTATATTACTCATTATTTTATCTAATCTTGAGACATTTTCCCGTATGTCCAAAGAGAGAAAAGTTGCATTTTTTAGTGACATAAAATTCGATCGGAAGTGATTCGAGCTAGTCTAAAAGTTGTCCCCGGCACTATGTAACCTATCAACCTGAAGTTTTCATCCTGATTATTTCACTTTTGTATTTGAAGTTTTAGAGTCCCGCTCGATAATACGTCATTTTGGGGCCCTTTATAGCTTGCTGTTCGGTGTGAGCCAAGGCTCCGTGTTGAAGGCCGTAATTTGACTTTTACAAAGTGTGACTTGGGTGGAGAGTTGTCTCATCGGCACTCATACCACATCTTCTTATTTCTATATATATGGTTGTACATTATTTTTGAGGTCTTTAAAGTTGTTAAAACACAAGATCATCTGTTTACTAAATGACTATCAAGCTTAACCATTACCTAACAATATCGAAACAAATACATAGAAATATATCAAGGAATTATTATATACGGTACCACGCTACGAAGTAGCGGAGGTTATACAGTTTTTGGCCCGTCCGTCTGTCTGTCGGTCATTTTCATTACTCAAATACTTTATATCGGATTACCACCTTACTTTGGTATATAGTCACATATAATAAGAGGAAGATATGTATTGATTCTGAGGTCACCACGTTAGAGGTCAACGTCAAAGTTACTAAAAAAATACCGAATTTTGAAGGATTAAAAGGTATGGCCGAAGATTCTCTTAGTCCTAGGAATTAAAGTCAGTGTCAAAGACTGAGTGTAGTAAGAAGAAAAGAATTCCAGGAACTCAATTCAATTAAATCACACCGAACAGCAATACGTCAACTACCTCAGAATTGGATATATTGCTAAGCCGACACCTCAGTCTAGAATTGAAAGACGTTTTTTTAATTTGAGATGAGGGATAAATACTAGTCAGGAAAAGTTACGCAATCCATATTTGTTCATTATTTGAGCTACATGAATTAAGTTTAAACTGACCTTTCGAGGACTATACGTGTCTTATATGTTTTGGAATGTTTAACTTTTAGCTTAATATAACTTATGATATGAATGTGCTGTGTTTTGGATTTGAAATTTCTTTTAAACTTTCCTCTGTTTTACTTAAACTCACTCAGGTCTCTTACATACCGATACAAGGCCCAAATTAAGAAAGAGGAAAGTCATAGAAAAAAAATAAAATTAATGTTCCGGCATGACACTCAAACTTGTACATGTAGAAAAAGCGCAAATGTCCTACAGGAAAGGCGCAAATGGTAGAAAAAGGCGCAAATGTCCGTGATCAAACAGCGTTAATGTCCTAAGAATTGAAGCGCAAATGTTCTAAGAATTGAAGCGAAAATGATCATGAAAAGTTGACTCGCGCAAATGCCTTATCAAGAGCGCAAACGTCCCACACCGTTTTATTCATATCATTTATGCAATCCTTATTGATTAGATATAATATTTTGAACAAACTCAATGTTTTAAAAGGTTTATATTATAATATGTTTGAAATGACATTGCTACTTCCTATGGGGATCTCTCTCTATATAAAACATACCAAATGAAATATATAAATGGTATATATTTGAATCAAAATGGATAGTTGATTCATTGGCAACATTATGACACTGCCACTCTTTCTTCTCATTACAGTGTCATTAATATAAATAAGAAGATGTCGGGTATGACTCTCCATATATAGATATAACTTGAGAAGATGTGGTATGAGTGCCAATGAGACAACCCTCCATCCAAGTCAAAATTTATAAAAGTAAACCATTATAGGTCAAAGTACGGTCTTCAACACGGAACCTTGGCTCACACCGAACAGCAAGCTATAAAGGGCTCCAAAAATTACTAGTGTAAAACGTGACCATTCAAACGGGAAAAGCAACGGTCTAATCTGTATGTTTATTTTCTTGGAAATAATATATCAATTTTTAACAATTTTTTTCAAATAATGTCATATCAAATCTTTCTACAAATATTTAATACGATCGACGAACAGTTTTTTCATCTTTTTTCTGTTTAAAAAAAATAACAATTAGATCTTGATGATGATTCTTTGTTACTGCAACAAACGCTTGGTTAATAGACTTTCCTTTTCATATAAAATCACATGACCCACATGTGACTAACAATACAAAATGGATGAATCACAATTTATTTACATATGGAGAAGAGATGTTTATTAAGCGACAAAAACGATGTTTCTGTTGATCAAAGCAAATTAACACGTATTGCAATCCTTGAATCTAGTCGAGAAGAACGCATTGACGCAGTGGTCATTATGGATGAAGAGACTTCAAGTGTAAACAAATAAATTATATAAACAAAGTTTGCCACGATCAAGAAATTCCGGGTCCGTTCGCACAAGCACTTGTTTCTATCCATTGAGAGAAGTCGAACTCCCAATGGATAGAAACAAGTGCCTATGTCTGTTTTATCAAAATTACGTTCGCATCCTTTTAAAAGGTTTTTGTGTTGAAATTTTTTAAAAATTGTATTGCTATAAAAAAAAAAAAAAAAAAAAATAATAATCTGATCATAGATATAATAGCCATAGATAAAGTACTGGACCCACATCAAAAGCAGATGATATTTGCCGAAATTTTATCACCCTCTTATTATATACATGTCACGCTTGGTGTTAATTAGCCTTCATTGACAATTGCCATCGATCGATATCTAATAAATTGTGAATCGGGAGACTTTTAAACACACGAATGTGCTACCTAATGACTTTTAACCATAATAAAAAAACAACTTTTTTTTAACTCTGCCAGGTCCAAAGCTCAGATAAAATAGGAGGGAAGTCATGAGAAGTAAATATTGTAAAAGCGCAAATGTCCTATATAAAAAGCGCAAATGTCCATTTAAAAAAGCACAAACGTTCCTAAGTAAAAGCACCAAACGTCCCGCGCCGGAAGGGATATATAGCTGTATTTATAGTACGAATCACACCTCTAACACAATTGTAAGAAGGAAGAGGAAAAAACCATGAATGACACAGGACAAAACTCCTATATTTTCATTTTATCATAGCCATTATAACGCTTAATCTATATATTGTTTACTTCAAAAATGAAATCGACAATCAGATTATACCACCGTCTATTTAATAGCAAAACAAGCACAAAAATGGTAAGCGGAAAGGTATATAGAAGAAACAAATTCAGAGACATGATTGTGCTACATGTATTTCCCAATTATTTAATGTATTCAGTGTGTCCACTACATACGTTTTCTTCACCAAACGGCGTTGAATAAGTTTATAATGTATTCCTTTTTTTCTCTTTATTTTCTAAAACTTTGTGTTACGACAGAAAGTTTCAACACTTGTAAAAATCTTTTTTCTTTTCTAAAAAATAATAATTTCTTCTTTCTGGCATAAAATATGATTACACTATTTGGAATCTCGATAAAAAAGAAATTTTTTTAACTCGCCATAGAAAAATTCGACCAGGTTCGACCTCTGAACCACGTATACTATCAGTAAACGATATGTCTCCTCTTGTCAATCATACAGGTCTTATTTTCCGAGTGCAACCGATGCAAGTGCTATGACAATTTAATTTTACATGCCTGTTAAGTCCATTTTCCATGATTTATAAAATTGAGAAAGGAAATGAGGAATGTGTCAAAGAGACAACAACCCGACCATAGAACAGACAACAGCAGAAGGTCACTAACAGGTCTTCAATGCGGCGAGAAATTCCCGCACCCGGAGGCGTCCTTCAGCTGGCCCCTAAACAAATATATATACTAGTTCAGTGATAATGAACGCCATACTAAACTCCAAATTGTACACAAGAAACTAAAATTAAAAATAATACAAGACTAACAAAGGCTAGAGGCTCCTGACTTGGGACAGGCGCAAAAATGCGGCGGGGTTAAACATGTTTATGAGATCTCAACCCTCCCTCTATACCTCTAGCCAATGTAGAAAAGTAAACGCATAACAATACGCACATTAAAATTCAGTTCAAGAGAAGTCCGAGTCTGATGTCAGAAGATGTAACCAAAGAAAATAAACAAAATGACAATAATACATAAATAACAACAGACTACTAGCAGTTAACTGACATGCCAGCTCCAGACTTCAATTAAACTGATTGAAAGATTATGTCTTCATCATATGAATATCAGGCACAATCCTTCCCGTTAGGGGTTTAGTATCATACTATCATAACATATGTGAGAAGAACATAACCCGTGTCATGCCAACAACTGGTTTTTAAATAAATGTGTTTAGTGCCGATGCAAAGACCCTATAAGTGAATCAATATTAACGCCAAAATATGCAATCTTTAATGACCTGACAACAGTATCGTAACTATATCCCTTCTTAATAAGTCTATTTAAAGGTTTTGTTAGCTTCAGAGGTGAATACTGACATTTTTGTGCTTTATAAAGAATATTTCCATAAAAAATTGGATGTGAAATACCTGAACGTATAAGAAGTCTGCATGTTGAGCTATATTTAGGAATGATGTCCTTATACCGATGATAACATTTAGTAAATGTTTTGACTAGTTTGTGATATCGAAAACCCTGGTGTAATAATTTTTCAGTAATACATAAATTTCTCTCGTTAAAATCTAAAACATTGTTACATACATGAGCGAATCGTACAAGTTGAGATGTATAAACACCGTAAGATGGTGACAAGGGAACGTCACCATCTAAAAAAGGATAATTAACGATAGGAAATGAAAAATCATCTCTTTTATCATATATTTTAGTATTAAGCTTTCCATTAATGATATAGATATCAAGATCGAGGAAAGGGCAGTGGTCATTGTTAGTATTAGCTTTATTTAAAGTAAGTTCAACAGGATAAATTTCTTTAGTATACATACTGAAGTCGTCATTATTGAGAGCCAAAATATCATCCAAATATCTAAAAGTATTATTAAATTTGTGTATCAGATGTTGTTTCGATTGGTCTTTGCTGATTTTTGTCATAAATTGTAACTCATAGCAATACAAAAAAAGGTCCGCAATAAGTGGTGCACAGTTAGTCCCCATTGGAATTCCGATAACCTGACGATATACGGAATCTCCAAAGCGAACAAAAATGTTATCTAGTAAAAATTCAAGGGCATATATAGTATCAAAGCATGTCCAATTGACATAGTTTTTTTGTTTATTGCTACTAAAAAATGACCTAAAAGAGTTTGAACATATGTATTCACATTCTGACTTTTTAAATGCCCATTTAATTAGGTGTGTGAATTTTTTCTTAATGAGAATGTGAGGCAATGTGGTATATAGGGTAGAAAAATCAAAACTTTGAACAGATTCAAAATCAACAATATATGCACGTAATTTATCAAGTACTTCCAACGAGTTCTTGACACTCCAAAAGTAATTAATGCCACTATTTTCGAAGGCCTTATTTGAACAATTTATTATCAGGTTTTTGATTGTACCAAGTGTACTGGTAAGAAGAATAGACAATTTAGTAGTGGAACAATGGCTTGAAGACGAAATGAATCTATATTTGTAAGGTGTTTTGTGTAGCTTCGGAAGCCAATACATAGTTGGGACTTTCATTGTATTTGGTTCTGCTTGTAAAGCGGTAGCTAAAAGTTTATGTTTGTTACAGATGTCGTTTTCTGAAAATGGAGTCAGTTGGAATGTTGGTGAATTGGTGATTTCTTTTTTCAGAACCTCAATGTAAAATTTACGTCAAACAATAATATTATTAGCAGCTTTATCGGCCGGGACAAAAACAAATTCCTTGGCCAGTTCTTTTAGTTTATGTTTGATACGAGAAATAGGTTTATTGTTGTTATTGTTAAGAGTAAAATGTTCTTTAAAATGTTGAATACGTATATCAACTATGTTCATTACTGAATTGAAAAAAGAGTCCAAAGATTTTTTGTCAGCTTTTTCCCGTTTTATCCATTTCAAACAGTAAGTATGGAGTGAGTCGTGGATGATATTACGACACTCATTCCAATTAATAATTGACGGGGGACGATATTTAGGTCCTTTACTGAGGAATGATTTTAACTCTCGGTCTTGAACGATGTTAAGATCTCCTGTTATAACATGGGAAATGGGTCCATAAATGTATTCGGAATTACTGCAATTACATGAAGTAGGTGTATTTTCACTGATATTAACATCTTTACACAATTGGCTATAATTAAACACAAATTTCCGGGTAGATTTCTTGTAAATATAACAAATAAGAGGGAGCTCAGTATTATCAAAATATCCCGGAATTTGTTCTTTAACTGAATGGTCGTTAAAAATACCGGCAATATTTACAAAATCAAAACCTTTATTGACATACTTTATTTTAATAAACTGTTTTTTATGATCTTCAGGGCGATCAATTTTGGGAAACAGTTTAGAATAACAATATGCCATTATAATTTGAACGATTTCATACTTAGGACTACTATATGAAATTGTGTTGCAATCCTGTAAAATTTTATTTAACTTAAATTATTAACCGGTAATGAACAGAGCTTTGTTAACAGATAATGTCTGCCGTTGTTTTTTGAAATAGAAATAAGGTCCGAAATATTGGTATGATTGGTCCGAAATTTTCTTTGATTGCGATTTTTTCTACGACCATGAGAACGGTTTTTACGAACAGTTTTAGAAACTATATCCAAAATGTTAACAGAATCGGTTCTTGATATATTACCAATTCCCATGATATTATCATTAAGACCGAGAGGGTAAACTGTCTGTAATTTTATTTCTCCATTTTATTATTTCAACAACAGCATAACCTTTTCATTTGTTGACCGATTTTCTCCAAATAAATTGCAATCCGAACAACTTTTACAACCAGACGCTTTATATTGCTTCCGCGTCACGGCATATTATTACTTGAGACAGGTAACGCATATTTATTATCGGTTGATAAGACGAGTGCCTGATAATTTAAATATAATTATGATAAGTAATTAGGGGACGACCATTTGATATTCTGGGGGGGGGATTTTGAAAATAAATAACTCAGCCTTGATAATCACAAAAATAAATGGTTTGTTCTGTGGTAGTTTGAAAATGAATGACCTGAATTGCAAAGTATTGAAAATAAATAACTCAGCAGGTCTAATCGAAAGTATGAGATGGCACCAGATTCTTCATAAATTCATTTTTTTTCCAAAAAAAAATCGGGAAACACTTCCCATATCTTTTAATAATAAAAGTATAAATATTATTCAAATATACTTGAAATGTCAGAAAATTGGTTTCATTTAACTTGAGGTTAATTGTCCCAGGAACACTTACCTGACTTTTATTAAATTAGGGCCGTAACTACATTGAGACAAATGCCTC